TTGTTTATCTAAAGCACTCATACAATAGGACAACTATTGGATGTCAAGCGCACAAGAAATGAGACATGTAGAGCTATATCCGATCCAAATCCAAAAGCTAACATTTTATTGTTACAACCTCAATTAGTTTCATAAAAGCTCGTTGAGTCATCGATGTTTGTAATACCTTATGCAACTTTGGACGCTTTAACTTTTCATAAGTATCTTGCATATGAGATAATAATTTGTACAATCTTTTACACTTGTTCATAGCAGCAAGGTTCCAATAAAAATTGCATCTTAAGGGCGTGTTTGAATACACATATATCCACTCAAAACGAGTTTATTTGGTTAACCATAGTTAATTTTGAAAAATATGGTATGATTATTTGTTAGTTGAGTTTATATTAAAATAAAATAATTAAAGTTGATTTGACGAGAGAGTATAAGAGAGATACGAAGTGAAGTGGTCGTTCGTTAAAATCACGTGAATGGGTGAATAGTGAATTAAATTTGTGTGATGTTAAGAATGGATGATTGTTGTTATTTAATTATATTCGCCCTATATATAATTTCCAAATATGTTGAGCCTAAGTGACCGACTCGCATTTTCGAGATCCTAGGTGCCAAAATTTCATGCTTCATTATTTGGCTTGGATAAATTTTAATTTAATTCCAATCCAAAAATAATTAGGTTCGGATTACCATAAATATGTTGATTTATTTATGTTCCTTTTAGATGTATTAATTGTATTTTAACATCATTTCCTATTATAACCAACGAATTGTAAATGTATTTTAAAAGTTGATAACTTTTGTATTTCTTATCGGTTTACATATATAATATGTCAAATAGATTATATTTCGATGAGCTTCGTTTTGACATTCATATTGTATGTACAAAATAAATAAATTATATTTATCTTTATAATAATAATAAATTAATTTAATAAAGTTAATTAGAAAATTAAAATTATTCAATTAATATATTTATATTTATTGTAGTTATATGTTATAAGTTAGAATAATTATTATAAGATAACACAGGGAAGTCGCCCAAGAAACAAGTGTCATACTAAAATATAAACTAATATATATTTTTTTATAAAAAGTATTTAAATTTTCAATCACTTTTTCTCATTAATTTTAAATTTTAAGAAAAAAAAAATAGTAAGCACCGGTGTAATACACGGGTGTTGCACCAGTTCATAATATTCATAGTAACACTACGAGAAAATGATGAAATTCCAACGGAAATTTATTATAATAGAATTATTCCAACGACAATTCCAACGAATATTTCAATACTATTATTTCCGTTGGAATTTTTCAATGGATTCCAACGGAAATTCCAACAGAAATATTCCGTTGGAATGAATTTTTCATTGGAATTTCCGTTGGATTTTGACGATTCCAACGGGGGTGGAAATAAAAATTCCAACAGAAATTGCATATTCCAATGAAAATTCCTACGGTAAAAGGCCGTTGGAAATATAGCCGTTGGAATAACCAAATTCCATCTAAAAAAATTCCAATGAAAAACACATTCCAGCCGAATATTTCCGTTGGAACCATTCCAACGGAAGCTATACCATTGGAATACCCGTTGGAATTTTCATTGAAATATATTACTATAGGATTTTCCGTTGGAATATAACAACTTTTTTTAGTGTAAAATTGGGTTAAAACTGAGTCGAATTTTAAGTATTAACCGAGTTATGTTATAAATAAACACACCCTAAATCCTCAAGTCTAAATGAACCAAACTTGTATAAGAGCCCGTTAGCAAGCACTTATCTGCTGCAATTCGAATGTCTTAATCAATATATGGACCAAGTCCACAACTATGTTAATCTAAAACATGTTTAATTTGTTACCTAATTAAGTTGTAGCTAAAGCTTTAAGTAGTTTTTAAAACTACCCAAGAACCATTGGCCATATTTTTAGATATGAAAACTTAAAAAACATGATATACTGGGATACATATATACATTAAATAAAAATGCAGAATTTAACTAAGTTACAAATTGCAGTCATAATTATATGGTATATTATATAAAAGTGTGTTTACTATTCCAATTTCACAATCTACTAGTACAATAGCCATATACAACATGTGGCGTTGAGTTAAGAAATATATGATAAAAGTTATTTATGTCTAATACCAAACCTAACTCCAGAGCAATAATAATAATATAAAAACATCACGAAGCAAGATTTTCGCCATGTCAGCATCCGAAGCGTGGTATGTAATTGGTTTCTAAAATAAAAACTCATTTTCTCTCCCTTATTTCTCCCTCTGCGAAAATCCCCAATTTGTAACCCTCGGCCATCATTCTAATCGATGAGCCTCCCTTCTGGCGGCCCCATGTTCGTGTGATTTCGGCGAGCATCGAGCTCACCCTAGGTCTGTCGGCGCAGTCTTGGAACGCCTCTCTCTCCTTCTACGAAATGGTTCCGCTTCTGTTCCAAAGCGCCATGGCGGGAGAGCAGGAGGCGGGGGTCGCTATTCGTGGTGTCCGATGGTCGTTGTGGGCGTCCATGGATGTTTGTGGTGGCGGTCCGGCTTTGGTTTTCTCCTTTCCCGGCCTCCCTTGGTGTTGGGTTGGCCGGGACCTCTGGCGGTGGTGGCATGTTCGTGTGCAGGCCCCAGAGTATGCGTGGAGTGGCTGTGGTGATGGATTGGCCTGGGTGGGTTTGCGACTCCCGGAGGGAGCTCCAGATCTAGGGTTCGTAAGGGCTGTAGTTGGGGTCTCTTCCGGTGGGTCGCATGTGGGTGGTTGTCGGGTTGTGCGCAAGATGGTGGTGTAGTCCAGAGGGGAGGGCTTTATTTAGTTTAGTTTTTTCTCTTAGTGATGTGTGTTTCTGGGTGAGTTTGTGCTTCGTGGGTTTGTGTTGTCTTGGCTTTGTTTTTTATTTTGTGTGTTGGTGTTTTGTTCGTTTGTGTTCGGATCTCTCTTTTGGGAGTTTTGTTTCTCCTCTAGTAGGAGTTTATTTTTCTTTTCGGTGTTTTTGTGGGTGTGTTGTGGCATTTAGGCTCCTTCGGGATGTCCTCTCATCTCGGCCATTTGGCTGTCGGTTTCGGCTGCTTTGGCCGTTCTATGTGTTGTAATTATGTGTTATTAATGAAAGTCTATCGTTTGGAAAAAAAAAAAACATCCGAAACGTGAGAATCTACCACCTAGGCTCAACGCGTTCTGAATTAATATATAGAGAGGGATATATATAAAGAAACAACATATTTACTAAAAATAGTAATAAGAAAAATCAATCAACATTTGTTGCATTTTATTTTTAGCATTTTTTTATATTTTTTAAATTATTCCTAAAAAATTAACCAGCTATATATGCACCCTAAATACTTGAGTTTTATGGATTTAATTAGGTAAATATCGACTAATGTTTACAATTTTGTAAAAGTCAAAATCCTTTCTCATTTTTTATTTCAAAAAAATTGATTACCATAAAATCGAGAATTTCGAATTAGGCAAATACTATCACATATAACTTTTACTAATTGCAACATATTAATTGTTTATTAGAAAATCGAATTGCATAGAAATCGGGTTACACTATGTAAAATTCGGCATGACAATTTTGTAAAAGTGAAAAATCTCTCATCTTTTTATTTTAAAAAAATATGTTTACCATAAAATCGGGAATTTTGAATTAGGCAAAATACTATAACGTGTATGTTTACCTAATTGCAACTGTTATGCTTATTAAAAAACCAGATTGCATAGAAATTGGGCTCAGTTTTTCAAATTGAAAATTAAAATGTAACAGTCCCTTATCATTTGGTTATTAATTTCTTTGATTTGGATTTTTTTAAAACATAAAATAGAGTTAGATAATATTAATTTGTTATTCAAAATGAAATTGAATCGGAACATCCTAAAAAATTGGGTTTTGTTTAATCCTCTATAATACAAATTTTAAATTGATTAAATACGCTTACAAAATAAATAATGATTGCTTACACTTACAAAATATCATATATATCATAATAAATAATTAATAAATTTATTTAAGCTTATCTCGAATCCTAATATAATTTTTGGTCATATACGATGTACCAAAAAAACAAACAAATAATGTTGTGTACAAGGATGTGTTTAATAATATAAAAGATACATTTTGTTTATTTCAATACATGCGTTTCATATTTTTCTAATCACCTAATCATACAAATCTAAATGTTTACATTAATAAAACTAGCTCATCCATCGCACGATGTACTGTTCCTAATACATTAGGAAATTGTTTTCTTTAATAAATGGGAGTTTAAATAAGAAATTCATCCGAAATAATCGTATGGGAGAAGTTCTGCATGAATATCTTATATCCCCTCATGACTTTTCCAACGATTTTAATATGTTGTGGAAATATATTCCTAACCTAAAATTAATTTGTTGGAATATACATTAGAATTTCCTACATAATATTTTTCCTTTGAAATTTGACAATTTTTCAAAATTTTAGTTTAATATTATAAGGCGTTCACCATGAGGGTGTAATCAAAGGTAGTGTTTGATGAGGAAAAAAAAAAAATATATCATATCCTGAAGTCAATATTATATAAAGAGAAAATAAAAATTATATGTTAATCACGTAGATTTATGATCATCGAATTATATGTTATCATTATCATTGACCAATTGAAAATATTTTAAATATCTTTAACTATGTCATCAAAATTTTGTGACGCCTTTTATAAACAAAATTGATTAAATATTAAGCCAAATTAGTTATGTAGTTCGTGGAGTCCTTGAAATCAACAACGTAGACTGTGGTAACCCACAGCTGATCACAATAACGTGCTCTCAACTTTCTAAACAATTTTTTGACTAACTGACACGATTAGGTAGTAAACTAATAATAATAAGTTATAACTAACACTATATATATATGTATAATCCATAGAAAAAATACATTCATTTAAAAAA